ACTGCCACGGCTGTCACAAATGACATCAGAGCCTGCCACGCGATCAACGGTCGCCTTTTTGTCGACTTTTGGCCATAAACCAGGGGAAAGGCTGGGGGAAAACCTCACCCAAAACGTAACCAGACATGCTCGCCTTTTACCGCCGCTCTCACTCACCATTAATTATTGAAAATGTTTCGCTTTCTTGTTACACTTCAACTTGAACTTGAAACCATTTCCTCGCAGCGCATACTAAATGTTTAATTGAGGCACGTTCAATGTCGGCCGAGGCTATCAACCTGTTGTGGGTTGTATGCAGTTGTTTATGGGGCGGGGTATCGGAGTGGTCGGTGGTGAACAACACCCCGCGATTGATAAGCCGCTCTCATTGATTCGATCATCAATCTGATGTTCGTTTTGTAACAACACTCAGTAATTTCAGCCGTGTTAACCTGTCACGAAACATTCGCAATCGAAACCCAAATGACAAATGGGGCTGCTGTAAACAAACTAACTACGAACCAACAGCAATCAACACGCGGAAGAAATTTAAACGGCTTACTACCGATTTTAAATTTGTGCGGTAAATGGCTTCCAATCTGCCTGATCTCCGGTTCGATTTATAGCTTCGCACTTAAACTTTGATTGGCTGTGGTGGAAGTATGGAAGAAGTAAATGTCTCATGTAGTGCACGTAATTGCAAACGTGAATCGAATGTCAAAGCAAGCCAAATTGTAGAATTACTATCAGAAGTTTTTACCAAAATTCTAGAAAAAGTTTATTTCTTCAGAACTCAATAATTTATATGCAAAGTTATTTATGAGCTTATGATAATCAACCTTTATAGAGTTGGCATAATGATTTTGTGGTTCTTGTATGCTCAATTTAATAGACACATAAAAGTTGTCAAGTTTCATATTTGTTTATTAAAATTTGCAATCAGCAAGTTTATTAAAAAAAAGTTGTTGTGATAAATTTAAGGTCCTATCAGCAATTAAAAGCACACATAGAAAAACTAAATTAGGCAAATACAGATATGTATTTTACGAATCGGTGTCCGGCCGATTGCTGCAATAATTTTGGAGTCCTAAAAAACCGAAACATATGTGTTGATAGTATATTGAAACTAGGATAAGTATATTTTAATGGTAATTGCTATCTCTAATTGCTTTTAAGGATTAACTTTTGATTTCCTGAGAAATCCCACATATTTTACGTTTTGTAGATTGCCCCAAAAGAGTTTTGGTGTGCCCGGCCGGACAACCTCCTGCAGATGAGCGTTTCTGAATGGCGAAACATGAGTCAGTCCTCCAATGGATGCCTGCTTCTCGACATGGACTATTCCCAAGTGATCTACGAGAATAACCAGCTGATCAACTGGCCGGCGAATGCCACGGAGTTGGGCTACCGACAATGCCGCCACTTCGAGTTCTCCGACGAGGAAGGAACGGCCAAGACTTTGGTGCAGGAGTTCGAGCTGGTTTGCGGCAGGGACATCCTCAGCCTGGTGGAAACTTGCTTCCTGGTGGGAGCTGCTGCGGGAGCGGTACTAAGCGGATGGATATCAGACCGCTTCGGCAGAAGGCACACGCTTATGGCATTCGTCACTATCCAGAGCGTTTTCGGTGAGTAAATGGGAAATACAATAATTACCAAAGGCTATATGGACGGCTTTAGACATTTTTAAGTCATTTTTTCCTAATTCTCTGTTAAATTCATTATTCCTTAAATAAATTAATTTTTTAGTATCCAAGAACGCATTTATTTTGTGTAAATTTGAGTTTATATACCCTTGCAGCTTTTGCAAAGATTAAATATTTCTTTTGACAATAATATTCCGGTTTTTATGTCTATATGTTAAACAATAGTGAAGTTGCCAGATTTTAATAAAATAAAGACCAGAGTGAATAAAATTATATAATATAATAGTATAAATATTTTATAGAGTATAAAATATTTTATAGAGTATATCTACTTAATAATGACTTAATTTAATTTTATTCTCAATGATCTAAAGTTTGATCCCATTTTGCCTGTGTAGATTATACAGGGAAAATTGCAACTGTCCGAACAAAGAGTTCCTTTGACCATGGCAATTTGAGTGGGAATCCATTTTCTAATTGTCATTTATATGCAGCTTTGTCCGTGAATCGTTGGGCTAACAGCTGCATTTGCATTTGTCCTGCTCCCTGGTCCGGGTGGTTGGGATTTTAATTGACTTTACACTCTTATTTACGTGCCCGACCTTGCCACTGACATTCCGCCACATTCTGCAACCCCGGCCCAAACCCTTTTGGCCGCCACCTGCATTCTCTGCTCTCCGTTACAGGTGGAATTTTGGCCTTCTCAACATCGGTGGCCATGTTCATGTCGCTACGTGTTATAATTGGATTCGCATCAATGACCGTGACTGTTGTGAGCTTCGTGCTGGTGGTGGAGCTGGTCTCCGGCAAGTGGCGCACCGTAATCGGCATTCTCAACATTCTGCCCGTGGCCATCTCCTATGTCCTCTCCGCCGGACTGGCTTACCTCATCCGCGACTGGCGTCACCTGCAGCTGGCCATCTCCTGGCCATGGCTAATCATGCTCAGCATTTGGTAAGTTGGGCTGCGCGCTAAGTCCTGCAGAAGGCTCTGCAACTATGAGGCGTTTAATTGGTAATTGAAAAACCAACTGGAGGGAAATCGAGGTCTCTTCATGCATTTTGCTTTCAGCTCTGATTTCATAAATGCCCTAATGATATTTTACTTAATTAATTAAATTATTATGCATGGATAAACACTTTAAATTCAATTTAAAATGTACTTTTTTACACTTCCTTTAATTTTTTCAATTAAAGATTTGTGTTAAAGTATTTTATAATTGATGTTAACTCATCACTTTAACTTGTTGCATTTGCAAACGAAAAAAATAATATTGTATAATTTATTTAAGTTTATTATATTCGTGAAAAATTGTGTCTTTAGCATGCAATAACTGCCAAAATTGCAGCTAAAATATATTATGGTAACATTTTTATATGGCAAATTAACTAAAATGATTACTCTTTAAAACCAGTCTGGGCTTAAAAATCAAACCCTATTTCTAAAAGTTACTTCGATTTGTTATTGGTTGGCCCTTTGCCGAGAGCATTTCAACTTCAAAGCGTTTACATTTTTAGCAGGCAGTCAACTAAATGAATTGACAACAGAAAACCGAGCACAACACAATGCTTGGGATCAATTAGATTCCGGCAGGGACAAAGAAACCCCTGTCCAGGAAATTCCTCAGTGTTTATCCTTGGGTGCCAAGCCACATTAGCTGACCGCTCTCGAAATCAAATGAAAAAATTCCTAACAGCCAATAAATACTGGGGCATGGCATTGATTCTCACCGCCCTTTCCATCTGTTTTAGGTACTGGCTGCCGGAGTCGCCCCGCTGGCTTTTGGCCCAGGGCCGGTTGGATGAGTTGTGTGAGCTAATTGAGCGAGCGGCCCAAATGAACGGCACCAGCGGCAGCCTGCCCAGAAACTATCGCAAGACCCTCGAGGCGGCGGTTCCACGGGCGGTCGAATCGCCACCAGAGGGAACTGGCGATGAGGTGAAGGCAGTTGAAGCGGATCCGCCAGATCCGGACTCCAGTGGTCATGTAAATCCCTTGCTGGTGGTGTTCAGCGCCAAGTATTGGCGCACCACCTGCCTCACCCTGATCATCTGGCTCACCCTGATCATCATCTACTTCGGACTCACTCTGCACCTCAGCAATTTGGGCGGAAACATCTACATCAACAGTGCCGTGGCTGGAGCCGTGGAGGCCGTGTCCATCTGCATCAGCATCCTGGTGGTCCTGAAGGTCGGAATTCGGCGGAGTTTAATTGGTTACATGCTGCTGCCGGGGCTCTGTTGTCTGGCCACAAACCTGGTGCCGAATCAGACGGGTGTGATTGCCTTGGCTACCATAGGTAAGTTATATTCTTTCTTTGAAGCTTTTTCTCTAATATGTACTAACCTCCTCCAGCCAAGTGCCTTATTGGTGCCAACAACGCCATCATTCCCACCTACACTGCGATGCAGTATCCCACTATCGTTCGAAACTTTGGCGTTGGCATGGGCAACCTCGCATCGGGTATTGCCCTAATCCTTGTGCCCTTTCTCTGGCAACTGGTGGGTCCTCAAAACGTTTTCCTCCATTATCTTAATTTTACAAATCTGTATCTGTATATTTCAAAAGGAGCACATTGATCCCCTGCTGCCCTTAAATGTTATGGGAGTTTGCGGCCTGATTGGCGCCATTGCCATTAGTCTTATGAAGGATGTGCAATAACCCAGAGCTTGAATTGGAATTTTTTAGAGGAACTGGAGCTGACTTTCCGTTTTGACATGCCTAACTGTGATATATATTGGACCTTTGGGGGGACATTACGCACCCACACTAAATCGTTTTTCTCATTCTAGCATAACCTATGATTTTATTTTATTTATGCTTTCAATGCACTAAAAACGCAGTATTTTTATGATTTGCAAAATGAATGAGTTCTTAATTTGGGTTGAATTTTATTAAAACTATGTTTTGAATGGATTTAATTAATGTTTACCAAAAAATTAAAAAGTTCCTATAAAAAAGAATGGTTGGGAACCTTGCTAACATTCCATAAGTCAGCTTACTCAATACACTTACCATTACGCATACGCTATGTTGGATAGACTTTTGAATTTCAAAATTAAACTTAAAGCTTGAGTTAAAGCGTTGCCAGCCAAACACATTTTTGAGCAGACCGTTAAAGGCGGTAAAAGTAATTTAAAACTAAATCACGTTCCCGGAGCTGATCGAGACCAACCATTCTCATGTCCACAAAAGAGGGCAAAACAAAAAAAGGCTGCCCTGTCACTTTCGTTACTTCATCGGGAGATGCGCTCCACTTTCGGCTTGGTCATTATTTGCCTCGCCATGCAAAACACATGCCTCACATAAATTTTCCGCTGCTTGCCAAAGCTCCGATTGGCGACGGTGCTGGAGCTATAAAACCGCCTGCGCACCTGGCGGGTCCAGCATTTGAGCGATCAACGGTTGGCCAATAAGAGCCAGGTGCCCTGCGGACAAGTCTGTTCTCCCCGCCATCAATAGTGCTTTTTTTCCTCTTGCGGAACTGTAACCAAAGGCCAGGAAAGAGAAGAGGGAATACCAAGGCCATTTCCATCATGAAACTTCAGCTTATTGCGGTAAGTTAAAAGGAAAACCCATCTAAGGATCAAACGCGTTTGTGATCTCGGTCAAGTCAACAACTATGCATGCAAGTGAATCATAAATATGCGACTATCAAGGTCGATCGGTCGGTTGCCAGCTTAAGATCCATAGTCGATTTCAGATTGAGACATTGCTATTTACGAGTATTTGCATTTTATAGAAAGTGCGCGAGTTGTGACAGTGCCTGTGTTTCAATGCAATGCAATTAGCAATTAGTGTTGGCCAATTGACATTTCATTCCATTCGGCATCATAAGACTAAAGATCGAGCAAGAGCACAAAGGAACTCGCATCATAAATATGCGATACAATCACCCAGCAATTGTTTTGTTTTGCACTGTGTGGCCAAAGAATTCCGCCTGAGGAATTACCAAACCAAGCCCTCGGGTCAGAAATTTAACGAGCATTTGTTGGCTTTAAGCCCAGCTCCGCCTTAACTTTGCAAAATTCCTCTCAACCTCCATTATTAACCTGAATATTGGGCTCTCGAAATAGACTTACAATTGCCTTAAGTTCAATTTGTTGTGCAGCCAAAGATTATCAAAGGATTTTGCTACTGCGCAAAGCTGATCAATTGTCAGTTATGGGATAAATAATATTTGTTATTTTCGACTAAATCGGTGAAATCGAAAAATTATGATTATGATTAATTTTTAAAAAGTGTCAAAAATATTTAAATTTTGTACCTTTCAAAAAAAAACTGAATTGTGTATAGCCACATTGAATATTATACGTTACATTAAAAAAACAGTCAAGTTAAAATATCCAGTGAAAAATGGTCATCCCCACTGGATAAATCTGAAAACGTTATTTAAAAATATTACAGATTTTTAATAAATATTAAACTTAAAACTGCTTTACTTCTAATTTTTCAATCCAAAACAGGTCTTGAGATCACCATAAATCAGCGTCTTTAATCAGATTTTCATGCTTTTGCTTGATTGATTGATTGACTTGGCCAAATTATGGATACGGCCTAATGAGTTTGCCAAAATTCGGACCCGAAAATGAATTGTTAATGACAAGAAACACTTAATTTGCCGGCAATTTGCGGAGAGTATTGTTCGGGTGCAGTTCGTCACGAGACGTTGTTGTTGTGCTAGCCCCGATTATGTGTATCAAGGTCGTTGGTGACCGCAGCTAATAACTAGTTATGGGCGATTGGGATCCACATCCACAAAACGCACCCAAGGCGATGCAAATTCTCGGCACGCACACTCCATTCAGTTGGAGTGGTGTGGCTGCAGCAGATTTAGCTGCGGATACAGGTACAGATACAGAAACTTGCCCACACCGCGACGCATTTGGGCGTAGTGTGCTGGGATTACGTAATGAACGGGTAAATAATGTGCCTGCATAAATAAGCCTTTATACATGCATAAAGTGTTACATATTTGAGACCGAAGCCGGCTCGAAAGTGCACTGACAACTATTCCAGCTCAACGAGTCCGGCCAACACGAAAAAAGCCGCGAATGCCTGGCTGGCATAGGACATATTTTCGATTTCGCTCGGTTCGGTCAATGGCCATCTGGCAGTCAAGGCCGGGCCAGATATCCTTAGCCAAGTTATTGTTACTAATGACCAGGAGCCCCATTCAACGCATAAACATACATTGTTGTCTTTCACTGATTATGAAAATGATGATGATGCTCCGAAAGAGGAACACCCACGCCTGTATCCAACTGGGCTTGGCCTGGCTTTGCTTCACCTGGTTCGGTTTCGGTCTCAGTTTCGGTTTCGAGTTGGGAACACCTTCCATTACACTTACACACATGCCTACGAAATTTTGGGTTTCCTTGAACTGCGACGCAGACGCAAGGCGGAGTCATAAAAGCAATTAAATCAAATCAAGTTCCCCTGCCGAGCAATGCACCCAAATAAATAGCTGCAAGTGTCTGCGCCAGGCCTTGTTGCTGCTCAGTTTCTGTCTTTATCTGGCTTGGCTTGGCTTTTCATTAGTTTTAAAGCCAAGTAGTTCACTTGACCAGGTAGTTGGGCAGCCAGCCAAGCCGCTGGCCACTGGAATGTTCGTTCGGCTTGAATGGCCCCGCACACAAACAGAGCCAATGCCTCAGATTCAGGAAAGTAATGGATAATAATAGCACAGCAACAACAGCAGAAAAATGTGTTGACTCCATGCATAACAAAATCTGCATGAGCCGAAGGCTTCATTGATTCGATCGATTATCATAAGCTGAAATAGTTATTCATGTTTGAACAATTGAATTATGGGCGACAACTCCAATTGTAGCGCTTTTATTGGTACCAGGAAATAGTTAGTTAATGTAAGGGATTTATAATGTCAGATATGTACAATGAAGAAGTTCTTCACTATTATAAAAACCGATGTTGTTGACTTAAAAACTATTTAGGATTCTATAATAAGTTTTATTAGCCCCAAAAACCTGAATTGGAATTTTAATCCAAAAAAGTAAAGAATTTTTTCAAACTTAATACTGCCTTAAAAAACCCCATAAATAAATCCTTATAGGCCAATAATTTGTATCTAATACCCAGCTCAGGTTTCCAATTGTGTCAAGAACTCTAATGGAAAACATAATTCCATATCGACTTTTATTCACTTCCCCGGCCATTAGTTCTTTTATTATAAGCTACCCCGCAAAGTAGGGAAAAAATTATCTGATCTGTGGCCAGATGGAAACCGAAGCTGAGGGCGAGAAACCATAAGACGGGTATATATGAATTTAGAATTGTGTTGTAATGGCGGCTACTCATTAAAAGTTCACACATCAAAATAGTGCGAGAAATAAAGTATCGGACTAGTCGGTTGGTCACTTGTCCTAGACTTTGACTTCTTTCGCGCGAACCGGAAACTTTTGACCAATGTGCTTGCCACATGCCACATGCCGCCACGAGAGTCGCATAACTCCGGCTCCGGCCATGCAAATTACGCAATCCAGGCGGCAAGACTGAAATGTTTTCGTTTTTCTTCTGTTTTTGGTCTCGCTTTTGGCTTCGGCTTGTCTTGGCCTGGCTTTTGGCTTGGATTTGGTTTTGGTTTTGCTTTTGGCTTTTATGATCGATCGGCAGCGAGGCGGGGCAGAAATCGCGATTTGTTTTATGTTCCACATTTACAGGCATTACACTATTGCCACAATTGTTGTTGTTGCTGTTGTTGTTGCCGCCGCCACACCGTTACAATTACAAATTGCTGCGCCAGTACATAAGCAATTGATAAATTTGAAACCAGTTTACAGAGTTGTGAGGTGAGCAGCTAACCAAGAAGTGCCACAAAAATGGGTGACTGCAAGTGACGAAGTTTTTTAATTAATAGCGCAATGCCAACACAAAAATACATTTTTTTTTAATGAATAGTCTACCATAAAGAGCTTGCGGAGTTAGTTCCGGCAATACCCAAATAATAATGGCTGCATTTTATTTGATAATGTTTTAAAAGACGGGTAATCCTTTTGATTAAATGGTCTCTATTAACAGTCAAATCCATTAATCCATTATTAAAAAGCCCTGGTTGTTCTGTTCCTCTTGTGAACTCATTTACCAATTAAGTTCTGTGCACATTTACCATAATCGATGGGGTTGACCACCCCCAAAACCGTCGTCGAGTGATGAAAATTCTAAGAAGCCGTTAGGAAAACAGCATGCCTAAACTGGCCATAAATAAATAATTAGGAGGGGCAAAGCCTAAAGCGAGATACCATGAATTGGCAAATTGGCCACGTGCGGCATGCTGTTGCCAAAGCGGCTGCAACGACTTGTTCCGGCAATTGGGACAGTCGATCCCTATATGGTCTCCACTTGTACTAATGACATCCATTTTACAGCTCGTTTGCGGCGCCCTCGCTTTGGTCGAGGCCCAAAACTATCCCCAACGCTTAAGCATTCCCGGAGCGGTTGCATCACCTGGTTCACAGCCCCACCGTCAGCCTGTGCTAAGGGTCCGTCGACCTGGACCTTCACTGCGCCAGCAAAATGTTATCCTACCAGCGGTTACGCAACGCATCTCCCTTGAGGAACCGCGCCCAGTGACTGAGTCGGCGGAGGATGAGCAACCGGAACCATATCTGCCAAACATTCTGCGGGAGCAACAGCTGGCCCAGGCTCAACAGTCGCAGTTCCAGCAGGCAGCTGCCGCCTTCTTGGCTGGCCAGCAACCCGTTGAGCAACCCTCGCCGGTGCAGCAGTTTCTCCAAACCGAGGACTCGCAGCCGGCCGCTATCTTGCCCCCTCCTGCTCGCTTCCCCGCCGAACGTCCCTCCATTCCGACGCCTTTAAGCCGTCCGGCCGCCTTCAACGACTTTGGCATCGGTCGATTTGAGAACTCTCAGAGATTTGGCCTGGAGCGTCCAACGCCTACTGCAGCTGCTCCGCCACCACCGCCTCCTCAGCCCCAACGGATCACCGTGGTTCGAACGAGACCGGCATCCGCCGCAGCCCTGCGTCCTGAGCCACCAGCACCACAGCCTGTGGCCAGGCCACGCCCTAAGCCCGTCCAGCCGCGTCCCATTATTGATCAGAATCAACTGCAGGACGACCGCGCCGAACAGCAGCAGCAACAGCGACGCCGGCAACCCGTTTCCCAGACCATTCGCAAGTGGCGCGAGGAGAACGAGGATGGCAGCATCACCTGGGGCTACGAGAACGACGATGGCTCCTTTAAGGAGGAGTTGATCGGCACCGACTGCATCACCAAGTGAGTAGTTGATTGGAATCTGAATTGAAAGTCTGCTGTGGTTCTGAGCAAGTTATGCCCATTTTAAACGGAATGCTAAACAAATAATTGTTTTCTCTTGATCATTTAGATCTTTCAAAACCTATAATATTTTTTAGAATAAGTCTTCAGAAAAGATATATAAGCGCAACTCATAAATTTTCTACCAACAGGGGCACATATGGATACATCGATCCTGATGGCAACAAACGCGAGTACCACTACGAGACGGGCATCAAATGTGATCCCAACAACCGCAACAACGAGGAGGAGCTGCAGGAGAACGGGTTCATCAACTACGAGGAGAACCGCGCCGTGCTGCCCAACGGCCTGGAGATCGACATGACGCAGCTGGGCAAAAAGAAGTCAAAGCGCCCGAATGGCATCTACAGGAACTGATCCTCCCCAGCACATTTAGTCCCTTAAGTCAAGCAGCTCGTAGGTCGTCTTACTTGTATTCCACTTATAATTATGTCCATACTCCATTGAGTGTCAAGTGAAAGATTAAATATGATTAGAATAGAGTGTAATGCGGCATCAGTAGGGGCGTTGGCGCCTGGCAGTGGGCGGCAGGCGGTTGGGCGGCGTTATCGAGATGTCCAGGAAGTCCCCGATGCTGAATTTGGCCTGGGCGAGCGTCTTATTATCGTCGATTCCCTTTTGACCCGTGCAGGTCACTCCGATTTCGCGCATCTGGAAGTGGTTGTTCCGGAAGTTTGGATACACCACGGCAAAGTCGAAGTAGGTGCCCTTTTTCCTGGTATCTGGATTGACGTCGCGCACCAGGGAGGTCAGTTCGTGGAGGGTGGCATCCTGCCAGGTGTAGATCTGCAGCTCGTTGGTAGGCACATTGCCGAACATGTACTCGGAAACGGAGTGGTGGCGACCCGTAGAGCAGAAGACACGGAGCAGCAGCGGACATGTCTAAGAAAGCAATATAAACGAAATAAATCTCCAGGGGAAACGCGAGGTAAACATCGCCGGGCGACCAAACAAACCTTCTCGCGATCAATCTGCTTGACCTGCGTCTTTTCCTCCACTATCATTGACTCCACGTTGGCCATGATTTTAAAATCCGCTTTAATTTTACACTATTTCCTGAGTTTTAATACAAAATTAACTATTAATCCGCAATGTTTGGGCTTCTCTTTGCTGTTCCCTAAAAAAAACAGTGTTGGTAAGCGCCGGCGGAGCGATGCGATTCCGGCTTACTATCGCACACTCCCAGTGTGACCGTTTATGAAACCAAAAATGGTTAATTTATCGATATTACTCAAATTTCCGTGAAACTTCAGAACTATCGATTGTCGCAATTTCCTTCTAATCCAGCTCTAGTCCGAATAGCAAAACAAAAAAAAATTCTTAGCGAGCGGTTGTGGTCGTCGGTCGTAAAATAGCGCGCCTCCGCGAATGACGCAGACTAAAAGCTTCCACTTGGATGACAATCGGCTAAATAACATTCAACAATAGTGGGGCACTTGCAAATTACCGTTGCATCGAGCTTTGCAAACAACAACAGCTGCGACAAACGGCAAAGCAGTAACAACAACAACAAAGAACACAAGAACGGAATTTTGTTATTGACGCATAAAGCAGAATCGCAATTTAGCCTGTGAACATTTTCTAAAACGGTAAGTAAATAGGGGCTGCGGTCCATTTACATACCGAATTGAACTGTGCATTTTTTGCAAGAGTTTTCTTATGTAACGCAGCAGCTGAGTTTTACGTGCAAATTGTTGCTGTGTTGCGCCACTGTGTTGTTTGTGTTTGTGTTGGTGCCGCAGTGTCTGCGAAAAGTCACCCTCTTTTAACCACCACTTCTCGTCACCTTCGCCGTCCCTCTCTCTCGATTTGTTTATAAACATTCAGACGAAAGCCGCTGCAACAACAGAAAATCCCGAATTGTTTTTATCACAAGAAGTACAAGCTTATCACATCCCCCGCAGCCTTCATACCCCACAATTTGCTCATTTCTATGCACACGCCATTATTTGCCAACAATAATGCCATGCTGTTTTTGTTGTTCTAATGTTACACTCTTTCAGTGGCGTGCACAGCAGGTCATCAAAGGGGGTTTTAAATATCCAGAAGACTTTTTCAATAAGATTCTCGAACTAATTTCTAAGCAATAAAGCTTAAATACTTATACTACTTATACGGTTAAATAATTAACTTGTTCGTGGCTCACACAAAAATTTCAAAGAAACCTCTTCAAAGAAAATAAAATATTCAGGGTTTAACAAAACTTCTAAAAACAGAACTTAAAGAATTCTTCTCGAAACAAATCTGACATTTTTCCAGTAGTGTTTAAGTTAAAATCCTGATGCATCTTTAGAGAGTTCTGGAAAGCAGTTTAAACTTTGATATTCTTTATTATTCAGTACAAGTACTTTAAAAACTCCCCATGATTCAAGCGAATCTCCTTCCCAGAGTGTTCTGGCTTTGAACTAACTCGTTGTTTTTGGCCTGCTCGTGTTTTGAGTCAAAACCACTCCCACTTCGTTGATCATGCAGCAGCTGTTGTTGCCACAGTTCCTGCTTCTCTTGCGTGGGTGCAGAATGTTTGTTTTTGTTGCTGTTGTTATTGAATTTCCCGCCTTCGTCCTTGGTCATCATCCGCTGTGCCTCCTTCGTCCTGCCCGCAGCGATTGTTCGCCGGACCCAAATGGTGCGGAGGGGAGGGGTGGCAGCCGTGACCGTGAATGACAGCCCGTAACCCCAACACCTACCACATAGTGGCCGATGTTATTGTTATCGCATACTTTTGCAACCACTGCACTGTGGCCAATATAAATGAAGTGCTTAAACGTTTTTCCAAGCACCCTTTTAGCCATATTCAAAAATATAATTTAAAATTCCAAGAGTTCGTTTACCATTTATATGGGCTTCTATTTTGAATGTAAACACAAAAGAATGACATTTCTGGTTTCAATTAGCTATTGATTATAAAAAAATGAGTACTTAAAAAATAGTGTTATAAATGCTTTCTAAACTATTGACGTTCAAGAGATCTGTAACAAAGCTTTAATTTAAAACGATTTAATTTGTTGAAAACTCCCTTTACTGTATATAAACTTGTGCGTCTTTAATAAAAGAAACATTTCTAAGGTTGATGACTTAAATCGAAAGGTGGCCAAGCATGTCAACAATAAAGTACAAGTTTTTGAAATTCCGCCCACTGTCCACGGCCTTTTCTCTGCGACTGCTGCCTGATTTTAAAACGTGCCAAGTCCTGGCCTGAAAAATGAAGACGTATGAGCAGAGGCGATTGAAGGGGTTTGTTGCCAATGTTGCGGTCGCTTTGTTGCTGCTGCTTTCGTTTTTCTGTAATTTTAATTGCTTTGAGCAACAGTAGAAGCCCCAGGCTGCTCCAAACCCAATTCCATCGAGTTTCCGAAAATTCCCCAAGCAGCACATCGAGTTGGAAAATGGCAATGCGAAGCGTAACCGAAAGCAATACATTCATAAATGCAAATAAAATGCGAGCGTTGCTTGCTGTGGCTCCTGTTCTGTTCTATGTATTTGATTCTATTTTTTACCCGGCTAGTTGACATGGTCGTTTGCGTGGGCGTTGCCACTGAAACGCAACACAATGACCTGGCTATAAACTCGACCTTGGCTTTGCACAGCAACCTTTGCGTAGCTCTGTCCTTATCCCCAATGCCACAAATATCCACCGAATGCCCAGTGGCGCACATTTCGCTGAGGCGTGGACAGATTCACTCGCCATTTTCAATCCGGATTCCATTTCCCAGCCAGCTGCTCAGACTTTCAGATAAAGTGCACGTTCAAAAGAATCATGACAAATTAATACTTGAGAATAAAAGGGCTAATCGTAGTGTCGGGCTGGCAGATGCGTAAAAGATGTTTAGAAAAAGATAGAAGGCAGCTGGGAAACAACAATCAGCTGATACCAGCTATTAGATTTAGCAAAGATATGTGGATAGCTATTAAGTTATTATTACATTAAAGGCTTGAACAATAAAATTGGTTTAATTACACGTTTTATTTCTTTTCATGGTTTTATACTTTCAGTCTGTTTTTAGAATTATTTCCTTCCACTTACATACACTTAAAGAGCTACCTTTACGAATTATCATACATTACTAAAGAAATTTATTTTATTGAGCTTAGGCATAAATCATAAATGCCTAATCCAAATATTCAAATCAGGAAAACGAAAACAAAACTAAATACAATAAAAATTAAGATTATAATTTGGGTAGGTTTAATCTGAATAAATTCGTGGGCTAAAATACTTTAAAAAAGTAATTTTAAAATCAACAAATTTCAAGTGGTATAGAAGAGTGAATAACTTTTTTACTATCATACAAGTATTATTAGAAACTGATTAAAGCTCAATTATTGCGATTAAATCTAAATATGTGTGAAAGTAGTTTTTTAAAAATAGTCACTTAATGTATTTCCATATGTCAAAAATGGTAATAGAGGTGGAATTGAAAAACAAATTCCTAAAACCATTCCGATTAATATGATACTAGGAACCCATTTTTAAGAGCCTGCAAAAAGCATTTCATACAGCATTGTGTATGGACCGCCGTACAGGCCAAGGAAAGATCACTCGTCTGTGCTTTTGATTGGGACCGACCACAATCGGCGGCGGACAGATATTGGAGTGCGTATATTTGCCCAGAAAATTATGTATACGCAGCGTTTCCTCATTGAGCGGCGCTGCTGACGCAAAATAAATGAAACGATTTTAAAATAAAAGCAACTCATCTTTTTCCCCTTGCGATTGGGATCTGTTGTCGCGTCTGTTGTCCATTTTATGCTATTTCTGTTTGCGTTCGCTTTTGTTTTGTTTTCTAGCTTCTTTGCCGTTGTGCTGCCTTTTTGCCTGGGCCTGCCAATTGATGAATTGAGTACAGACCGCTGCCGTCGGCTCTTTCGTCAATTGGTTTGACTGAATCTAGCTGCACTTGCACTGACGTCACGTCCCAGCAAAAGTGCCCCTAACTCACTTAACACATCAACTTGATAGGCATCGCCGTCGATTCAATTCGACCGTTTGCGATTTGGCTGAACTTGAGGTATATGCGGGCCGTAAACCTCTCAATTAACGATAGTAACAATGGTCGAATGTTATCTTTGTGGACTAGGGGGCTAGAAGGTGCGTCAGTGGGGACAGTCAGCGATAAGAAAAAAGGGGACTACCGTGGCCATGATTTATGATGATAACCAGTGGGTTTAAACTGGTTGAACCCATCCTTGAACTGCTGATAGCACTGGCTTACAGAAAGTTTAAATTTGGGGGCAATATTGGAACCAAAAAGCGCTATCCGCAAATCACCGACTTTTCGGCAACACATGTCGGCGATGGCTGCTCTTAATATAAATCGCTTTTGCATAGCTAAGTTGGCCAAACTATTTTCGTGTCAAATCGCTGACAGGACAGGCCCACACAGAAATCCACAAATGAACACATGGAAGCGCACAGTTGCGGGTGACAGCCGACAACAAAGGGGCTGGTCTGAGGCGAGTGAGAACTCCTTGGAATCGCACAAGGACTTTGAGTGATAACAATCCAATTTGTAAAAGTGGTGGGCGGGGGTGGGTGGCGATTTGATGGGCGTGTGGGCCACATCAGTATTTGCAATTTCGATTAAAGGTCAGTGGAAATGCCAGGCATTTTCGACTCGAAAAGTTGAAGGCAATCGGCCAAAAGCATTTCTCATACTCACTTGGTGCGAATTTGTTTACAAACCTTTTGCGGTGCAAGCCAACGACGTGTAAATGATTTAATTAACAGTTTATGCCTGGAAGTGTCGGGTTATTACGAAAACCTGATATTGTCATGCAATGCCAAAGGTAACTCCAGCAAATTCAGTAATATTTCTCTGGATGCTGTGCGCAGCTAACAGTTGTCTCAATATCAACAAAGTCAGTTGTTGTCAGGGATGCCCCTTGTGACTGGCTATCCAATGAATACGGAGATTAGGTTTAATGAGTCCGCAATACAGAGCCATTCAGTTCCCTATTGAATTAGTAAGAGCATTCAGTACGTACAGTCCGAGGCGTTACTGAAAGGCAAATTAAAGCTTATCGTGAAAAGATAAGGCTAACTTTCAACCTAATTAATCCGTGTATTGAATAATGTAAGCTAGGGATTTAATGACCATTGGTATTGGTATTTTCTGAGTGTATTCTTCTGGAATTTCCTATACAAGGGGAAAAAAGTCTTACTGAAATTGGTTTAAAATTAAATGTTATTAAATACAGCGATTCATTTCATTTATATTTTTTGTGCATGGGTTCCCATTTGCTCTAAGCATTTAGCAGTTCACATAAATTGCACTATACATTAAGCTTACCCTTTGATATTCATGTTAATTTTCACATTGGCCTTACATTAATATAACGCTGTGCACGCACTCAATTCCCGCTGATTCGTAGTCCCAAACTCAGCCATTTTGCATTTTACACACATGGTACATGCAACCAATCAATGTCCTGGCAATCAGCGGTATTTGTTCCCTTCCCCTTACAACCGCCCACCAAGGTTGTGTAACCCCCACGCAAAAACCGCCCATGCTATCTAAGCTTTTGGTGAACGTTTCACCTTTGGCAGTAATTATCCAACCACAGCAGCCGTGCAAGCAAAGTTGGTTTTTGTGGAGCTCAGTTACCGAGGGCTGTATGGTAGGAATAATAGCATACTTTTGGGTGCAGCAAAAGTAGGTGCATTTGAATTTCTATTGTACCAAAAGTGAAATAAGCCAGGATAGTTTCAAACTAATTAGGATTTAATTAATTGAAAGAAGCTCTCACCAGTGGTTTAAGTTTCATTTATGATTCCCGTGAACTTCTGAACCTTTCTCTGCCACAAATCTCGTGATTAACCTGTCTAACGACCAGAGACCATACCTAACCGCCTGACCTTTTGCGTTCGCCTTGAGTGGATTCCGGTTACAGCAGTATGTGACATGCGGCAAACGAAGCCGACACTTGCAGACTTAAATATGAGCAACCGCCTGCACAGTAACCGCTAGGAGCTGTAATAACGAAACCACGCTTTGAACTCTGCAAAAAGACCAGGAACAATATAATTAAATTCCAAGCGGAATACATCAATCGCAAATATCTGGCTCAGGCGAAGTATGTATCGAGGGAAATTGTAAAATTTCAGCAGAAAATCAAATTAATCTTGTCCCAACGTTACAATATTTGTATTTGCATTGAAATAGGGTAAACTCAGCATCAGTTGCAATTGAGAGTGGAAATGCATTCGTGGGATTTGCCTTTTGGCACGAAAACTAGACGATAATGTAAATAAGGCCACAATTCACACATATTCACATACACAGACGATCGATTAAATGTGGACGAGTTTCAATTAAACTACAATTTAAAAATGAAATCGATTCAAGGATTTAAATTTTAACGATTTTAAGGATAGCTTGGTTAATTGGTTCCTTAAAAGCCTTGCATAGTTTTATCAGAAGACATTTTCATTATACATTATTGTTCCTGTTTTTACTGATGTGTGCTTTTAAATTTGTTGCCCAGATTATAATTTGCTTTGTATATTTCTTTAAAAATTGTATTGTGTTTTTTTGAGTGGTTCAATGAAGCCGTCTCATATGATTGAAAGAGCTCTTGTGTGTATTTGCGGTGGCTTGCGCGCAGACTACTTACGACTAAAAATCTGCAAAGTCTCACATGGCGGGATGAGCAGAAGGATGGATGGATTGCCGAATGAATGGAAATATGTATGGTTGGATAGGAAGCAGGATTCCTGGGACGGGCGGCGACCACTTGATATAATGATGACAGCAATTATGACTGAGTGAAGGTCGCTGGCTAACGACCGGCAGGCAATTCATCATTATGCCGAAACCACGGCACCGCCTCCCCAGAATTTGGGGGCGGGGCTGAGAGCTACTTTTGTCTAGTTTAAAGTGCGCTTACGGCCCGCTGTCTATGGGTTGCGTGCAGGAACGATGACGTCACAAGCGATTTGCATGCCAGCAGCTCGTTTGTGCTGACTTGCAGTTGCCATCGTCCGCGTCCTGCTCCTGAAATAGGGATCAAGCCCCTCTGCAAACAAAGTGCACACGTCATGAACAAGTTTCACCCACTTCCCTGGATTCAAAACCCATACAACCACATCCACATTTCCGCTGGTAGCAGAAGTAGCCATTGTGTGGGTGTGTCCCTTCAAGTAAATCAATCATCCCGAAATAGATCAACTCGTCGTTGCGTTCTTTTTTTGGCCTTTGTTTTTATTGTTAGCTAAGCTTTGCTGTTACCTGTGTTGAGGTAAAAGTCAACAAAAAAACGATGCCATAAAAAGGAAAGGGAAAACGAGAACAAAACAATTTGGGGAAAGGGGTATTAAGTCCCGTCTGGCGCGCTTCAAAACCCAGCTCTTGGACTTGTCATCCCTTCAAGTGGATATTCATTTTTCGGAGTGCATAAATAAGATGGTTTATTACAGTTTAATTAAATTAAAAAGCAAGCCACTTCACAGAAAGAACCGTTTATTTGCGTGCTTAGTTTTGATCAAGATCTTGTGAAAAATACTTACTACTTAGGAGCGACTGTGAAGTTATTTTATTTTTCATAGTACTTTTCAACTTATAAAGATAACTTAATGATGAAATTAAATTCATATGAAACAAAGTTAATGGCATATTAAGATTAATAAAATTATAAGGCTCAATTTAAATTTTCTTAAGAAATTGAAAATATTAAGAATTATTATTATTATTTAATTATGACAACAACAAAATCCAAAAGCAAATTAAAAAGGTTATTAACGGGGTCTCAATTTATGGCAAAAGTTTCAATCTAGGAATATCAAACATGGCCCCAAACCCATTATTGTGATTGTGAATCAGAAAAACTTTGCAAAATGCTCGCCCGAAACTAAGTCAATTTGGTTTAGACAAACAGACACAAAAAACCATTTGCATTTAACTAAAATAGCTGCCTCGTTCCAGGAGTAAATAGCGTATAATTAACTCACTGCATATTGCTGATTCATGGGTCAAAATAAAACAATAGGAGAAATGTTATTTTTATAGCATACAAATGGGCGCCCATCTAGAAGCACGACTGGCAGTTAGTTCTATTATTATAATAAAACACACAAAGAGTTCCCGCGGATTTTCGGGGAATGGGTTTCATGTCGGTCACAGGTGCGAACGCTGACACACGTCACCATTCTCGTTCTGACGCCTAAAACGCGGCGCCAGTTCCTCATTCATTCATTCATTCACAAAAAATTGGCCACTATTAATCACCCGTCTGGCGCTTTCCCCGCTCTCTGTTAATGTAAGTTTGTGCCACACAGGCATAACAATAAAATCAAGAGCAGTTGTGAATCAACAGTGCGTCACCATCGGATCCCCCTGGCACTCAAACCCCAAGGCAGACCTATTGATTGGCTTCACGTGTCGATACCTAAGTAGGAGCCTTGCAGAGCTCCTCTTCCTCCGGTTCCCGCCCTTTCACCAAACTCAGACAAGTCTGTAGTTTTCGGTCCCGTAATTGGTTGAGGGGCTGCGGGTCTCGTGGAAGGAGTAAGCAATTTTTATTGTCGTAGCGTGGCGCTTGAAATTTGTTACAAACGGTGTTACGTAAACTAAAACGTTAGCACAATGCTGGTCGATGGTGTTTACCCAACACCATCGGCTTTTGCGTAAAATTAATTTGCAAGCGCTGTTTACTGTTTACCAATTTTTTAGAGATGGTTGGAGGTGAAGGGCAGCCCACTGACAGTTCTATTTACGGAAAATGTCACTGACTTGTTGAATCCAATTACTGTAAAGTTTTTACATTTAGGGCTAAAATTAAAGGCCCCGTATGTGTCCAAGTATAGCAGTAATTCCGCTCACAAAAATAACACTTTCAAACAGCAGTTGACTTCCCACAGCGATTTGCCTTAAAATTATGATAATTGTTTTTAATAGCCTTTTTTTTTTGCTAATAACTTATTTTAAGTGAACTGTTTATGCAAAATGTATTTAGTGCACTATTGATTTTCTTTTCCACGATTAAAGCTGGTATAATAATGCTCAACTTTTTGTTGGCATGTTTTAAGAGGTTATGAAAATGTTTAAAAAGCTGTTAAGTGGAAATTCTTACAATTGCGAATTATTACTCTGTTAACCTAGTTTATGGTTTTCTCTTTAAGCTTGTAGATATAGCTCAGCAAACTGGCCTAAAACTGTTATTTTCTGCTTTCAGCCAATCATGTCCGACGCGGCCAAGTCCAACAACAATGCGTCTGCCGGTGCACCTGATCCGGCCACTCCTGATGTCGCTGGAGGACCTGGCGAGGCCAATGACGCCGTTCCGACAACTCCACGTGGCAATCACAACAACAACAACAGCGCCAACGGTAGCGGCAGCGGCAAAAGCAAGAACAAACTGAAGTCAACACAGAACAGCAGCGGCGGGGGGAGCATTGACAAGCTTTCGCCAGATCAGGACATCTTCATCAACGCCGCCGACGGTCTGCCCAACCAGCATCCCTCGCTGCCGAAGGAGGGGGACGTGGACAGCGACACGGAGCCGGAGGTGGACGCGGACTCGTTCGACGACCTACCCACCTCGATCATCGTGACCAACATCCACTCGGAGGTGTTTACCAATCCGGAGCTAAAGCACGCCATGGAGGAGCTGTTCCGCACATTTAGCGAATCGGCCACGTTCCAGTGGCTGCGCAGCTTCCGCCGCATGCGGGTGAACTATGACAACGCCATTGCGGCGGCCAATGCGCGGATCAAGCTGCACCAGTACGAGTTTAACAAGAAGACGGTGATCACCTGCTACTTCGCCCAGCCGGTGACACCGGTCAGCAACAAGAACCTGCAGCCGCCGGCGCCGGTCAAACAGTTCCTCATCTCGCCGCCCGCCTCGCCGCCAGCCGGTTGGGAGCCACGCGAGGAGGGCGAGCCCCTGGTCAACCACGACCTGCTGGCCGCCCTGGCCAGCCTCACGCCCGGCGAGTCGCACGAGCTGCATCCCCAGAGCGAGGACCAGCCGGCCATCATTGTGCACACGGCCATGCTGGCGGAGGCCGGCACCACAGGTCTACAGGTGAAGGCACCGATCGTCCAGACCAAGTGCCCGGAGCGGGCATAATCATCAGGCCGCGGCGAAGCTAAAGCTTAAGCTGAACACTTGAGTTGTAGGCCCAAAACGAACTGGACAACGGGCTGGGTTCTCATGCTCCGCGAAAGGATGGGGCTTGGATTGAGTATTTTATGTAAATAGTTTCCGATTCGATTGTGATTATTTTACACATACATATATTTAGCTACGTTCGTATGTTTCTATTACTAGGCACTCGAACTCCCATACCCATACCCATACTCTTACCCGACACACTTTCCCACCCTTCGTTTGAAGTGTAGCATTTAACCCAATTGGCTTCTGATACAAGTTATTTGGCTAGCAACCGCATCTAGATGTGTTTATCTCTCGATTTGAGTGTGTCTATGTCTAAGAATATCGATGTTAACCCATCGCGACTACCTGCTACCGATATCTCTATCTCTGTGTACCTTCGATGGGAAATCGCTGCCAGAGGCGCTATCGAGAACAGCGATCCGGAATCCCAGATATAATGCTACTATATCTATGTAAATGTTAATGTAATTCTAAGCCAGCGAAATGGTGTTGCGATATCGTATCAGATGTCGCAATACATACGTATATAACTCTATATGCCTACGTGTAGTTAAACTTTAAATTGAAAATATATTCAGATTCGAAATGAATGTTCTCAAATGTACCAAACAAAACAAAAAAATAAGAAATTCCAAAAACGAAACAAAAACAGAAAAACCGAAACAAAACTCTGTGTACCAACTTTAATTGAAAGGGCAGCGATGGGTTATGGATTCGACATTGGAAATCTCTGTCGACAATTGGCAATTTGATTGTGCAATTGAGTGGAAATTACTGAAAACTTTTGCAAGGCCGAATTGGCTTTGTTGCGCGAAGAATAAACTTTAATTTGGGGAAGTTTGCTAAAGCCGTAAAGCGAAAATAACCCTACAGTACTATGGAACCGATTGAAATATGTAGATTTTTAGATTATCTAAAACTGTTTTATATACACATTTGGTTTAGGTAAAATCGTTTGTATTATACTATTGGGGCTGAAATTTTAGTCAGCCTTATAACGATGCTTACAACACTAAAATAACTTCCGCCTAAAACTAGGCAAAGATTTTTGAATCGCCAAATATTCGAAAATAGGTACAATATAATTTATAAACAACTTAAAGGCTGCAATTTTAGGTTAACACACTTGATGTGGCTTTTCCTGTTCTACAGCACAATTTTATTCACATGGAATGGATAGCAATTCTTAAAACTTACTAATAGGCAGAAGAGTAAAATGCTTAACAAGAAAAACGGGGGGTAACAGGGAGTTTGAACTGGATGCGGGACTTGGGCACAATCATCTTTGGCTTAATTTTACTTGCGCTCGATGTTCTTGAGCGGCACCATCTGCTCGGGATCATCGGCATAAACGCTATTCTGTCGCTTCTTGCGGCCAGCGCACTGGCTGAACCACGTGTCGCCCTTGCCAAAGTTCTCGCCGTCTTCAATCGACTCGGGCATGGGCTGGTTCATGGTCTCCGGCAGGAACATGACCCAGAAGCCCGATACAAGTGCCACCACGCCAAATAGTACGGCCGGGATCTTCGGATCGAACGAGTCGAGCAGCGTGATGAGGGGAGTGAGAGCTCCCGATAGACGGGCGCACATCGATCCCAAGCCCATGGCGGAGTTCCGCACCACGGTGGGGAACAGTTCCGCCGAGTAGTTGTAGATGACGGCAAAGGATCCGGCGATGAGCAGCTTGCCACCCATCACCACGGCCGTGGAAGTGGTGCTGCCCTGGGCAATGAAGGCGGCCACAATGCAGCACAGGCCGCCACCCAGCATCAGGGTGGAGGTGATCGAGCGACGACCCAGGCGATCCAGCACGAACACAATGGTTATATAGCTGGGGAACTCCACCAGGCCCATGATGAACAGGATCAGGTAGGGGTTGCCGTACAGCTTGCCGGCACTCAGCGACAGTCCGTAGTAGACGAGGGAGTTGGCGAACCAGCAGAGACACACATTTAGCGTCTTCATCCGCAGGTTGGGCGTGCGGAAGAGGTCGCTCAGTCCGGCACTGGTCTTCTCCTCGGCCGCCGCCTGCTGCTTGGCCTTCTGCACGTAGTACTCCTTGTCCACCGGTATGCCCGATCCGTTGATCCTCAAGCCCTTGGCCACAATGTCCACTGCCTCGGCGGCACGACCCTGCATCCACAGCCAGCGCGGGGATTCGTCGAGCAGCCACCAGTGGCCCAGGAACAGGCAGCCGTGCAGTCCGTAAATAACCTGCAGCAACTTGCGGTCAGGGATCAGTGCTCCCCATCCCGCCACCAACATGATGCCACCAGCGAATACGGCCTGAAAAAGATAAGAGAAGATTAATATACATATGTTTATTGACCGCAGATGTTAAACCGATGTATGAACCGGTTGGTAATTAAATAAAATATTAAAAAAAAAAAAATGCCTTTGGAAATAAGAAGCATGATGAATCCTAGATAGATCTTTAGTGATTTTTCTCACCTGGAAGGTAATGCCGCACACAGTGCGTTTGGTGGGCCCAACCAGCTCCATGGTCAGTACGAATCCGCAGATGTAGGCACCCGCTGATCCCACAATGCCCAGCAGGTATCGAGCCACCATGAACGAGAAGTACTCGGGAATGAAGGCCACTCCCACGCCGATGATCAGTTGGAACAGAGCCGACCAGCAGAACACGGTCTTTCGGCCCACCTTATCGGCCAGTCCGCCAAGGGTGACGGCGCCGGTGAACACGCCCAGCATGAACACGGTCTGCACAATGGCTCCCATCCAGCGGCGGTCACACACGAAATCCCAGTCAATGGTGCGCGAGGTTTTGTAGTACGTCGTGTCGTATACGTAACTTGTGCAGGCAACGGTCTGGTTGGAGGCCAGGGCAGTGGGATCGAACATGAGGCACGATTCCAGTTCACCATTGGGCTTCTGGGGAATGGCGGCCAGGATGGCGCTCGAGTTCCACGGGGTCACCGACAGCTTGCCGTCGTCCACGCCCTCGATGAAGCAGCGGTGCTCGGGAACAGCGGCCACTGTGACCAGGGAGAGCATGTGCATGCCGGCGGTTAAGCCGGAAAGCACCTGCAGGAAGAACTGCAGGAACTGGTACTTTCCAAATTCCCCTGAAACCAAAAATAGGCACTACTATAGATTCGTTGGGGAAAATCATACTAAAATATATAACAAATTATTTAAGTGAGCTTTTAGCCATTTAACATATAGTAATAATCTCTAATATTCATTTATAACTACGAATAGTGAATAAAGCGGATCTGTTATTATCTATAACCAACTAATGAAATTTATAATATTTTTTTATATTAATTATCCTCTAAAATTATTGTACGTTTTATAAGCAGACATACAAAATAACTAAATTAAAAAGGTATTAGTGACAATTTTAAACTTTTTAAGGAAAATATGCTTTATTCCTAACGAAATAAATTGTCAATAGGATTTAAGTACCCTGACTTTACCAACTAGATTTATAATTCCTTTAAGAACCTGTAAATTCCTTATCGAAATCCTCGTATAAGCAATGAAAGCGCCAGTGATGGATGAAACCGAAAAGAAACACCCGACTATTATGTAGATGCGAACTTTTTATGGGTGTCGCTGGCATTGTCGTCACTCCAAAGGCTTTGCAATTAAATCAAGTGGAATTTATTCAATTCGATTTCAATTGAAGCGCATTCAAATGCCCCGTCAAATATTTGCCAACAGTTTGGTTTGGTTTAGTCCATGTTTTTCTTTCAGCTGGAGACTCGGATGTCTTGGGAGAATGCATTGAATCGATTATGACTTGGCTGGACTGGCGGTGCGATCGCGTTGTCAGAGGGCAGGGGCTGTGCAAATTTCTATCAGCGGGGACAGTATGTAACCTAGATACGAGAATTTGACACTTGAGCGGTCCAATGTTCAATCAGCCGTTTCAATTGATTTGTGGGTTACGCTTATTGGTCGTTTAAGTGAAACTATTGCCATCAAATCGAAAGTTACGTTCACCCCGGTTACGTTAGAATCGACAACTCGTGAGTAGATCGTCTGTGAATTTCAAATTTCATAATTAAACGATTGTGTGGTGTGTAAAATGATGTCATCGAGAGTGTTACATTATGTCAAAGCCTGGAGGGCATGGCTTAATTAATCTAAATTTTAAATTTTGACTCAATCTCTAATTAAATTCAATTACTCCCCCAATAAACATAATCAGCGTATAATTGCCAACATGCTAGGCAATCGAAAAGACGAAATCATGATAACCGAAATCAGAATAGTAAATTTTCATGTGAAATCATAGCGGATTATCAGAGGCCACTAAATGCTACATTATATATCAGCGCTATTGTTGCGATGGATTTATTACATCCGACCAATGAAACTAGCCTTGTTATTGTTGCCAAGTGGCCCTTTATATGACATTTGTTTTTGGCTCATTCAATGTTTGTAGTTCTCTTAAATAGTCTGTGCAAAAAAGGTTTAGAGATTTGTTTATTCTAGATCTAATATAGGCGATAAGTGAATTTGATAAGGTCATGTATTATTACAGCTCTCTGCTAATGCTGTTGATTACAAAGCAATCAATTTTAATAAGTTTTATAGTACATTTTTAAATATATAAATTCTAATTTATTTAAATTATTTTGTTGGTTGATTACAATTTATAAATAAGCTTCCATATTCTAACTTTCTAAGTTCCTTTTTGGTTTGATTGAGGTAGATCAAGGTTTTTTATTACTAGTTTATGGTGGAAGCCAGTCTAGTCTGATTTTTCTTTGTTTTAAAACAAACAAGGTCGCTTCAGTTCTGTTCTAAACATTATACAGAGCACATGTGGAAGCTCTTTGAAAGTCATTGTAAATTTGTGTTGGTATGCCAACCTTCCTACCACCAAAAATACACGAATTCAGCAATGTAACACGCCTCCGAATTGGAAGTAATTAGAGCTGCCCGACCACCAAAGAGGCCTTCAACAAAATAAACACACATGCAAGAGCGACGTGTGAATTTTGAGGGCCGAGGGGTTGGCGAGTTTAGCTGAACAAACCGGTTTAAGTTTTTTTTTTGCATTTTACAGATACAAATGAATGCAAATGTATGAGCATATTACGATTAAAAAAGTCACTAATGCGATTATCACTCCCTCTCTCCATATTCTGTCACTTTCTTATGGGCTGCGGTTTCTAGACTGCTAAGTATAAAACCAGTTCTGGATCGTTACTCATGGAAGTCGATGCAAAATCTGTGGGTGTTATAAAGCCTATATCAAATGCCTTAATTAAGTAATTTTTTTTGGTTTAGTCTGTGACACAAATTTAAAGTTTTTTAAAGATAAAACAGTCCCCAAAGTATGATGATATATATTTAGATTTAAACAGTTGGCTGAATAACTTAGACTATTAATCAGTTGTTTGTAGCTTAGACAAGTTGAGATTCCATTGTAATACCTTATTATCATTATTAACTGCTTTGCATAGAGCAAATAAACTGGCTTTATTTTCTAATTCCCACAAGCTAACTGCAATGTTGACACCGCGAAATTAGAGTGCATAATAAATTAACTGAACGTTCCTCAGAGATTCGCAGATCCCAAGATCTTTATGACAGGCCCACCATAGTCTTGTGACAAAGGCTCAGCAGATGCTGCTTAGGGTGAAAACCCATGTTTGTTTGCTCGTTAGCCACTCTCGTTTTAGCTTCACTGTGCTAAAGCCAAGAAGGTTCAACAAGTGTCACACAGTCTACAGCTCAGAACTGGGCCTACACATGCATGAGTCGATGTAGTTACTACATGTATAGTAAGGTAGGGGGCAACTGCTCGGAGTCTCTATCAAGCTGTCATAGATGTCTGTCACTTGCCGCAACCTTTATTAAATTAGAAATAAAGCGAAAACAAAAATAGGTGTAATTAAAACTGTATTAGGGGCGGCTTCTTTTGAGCACTTGACGGGCAGCTAGCCGGATAGATTAGGCGGAGATTAGAAACGAAATACAGAAAAATTAATTATGAAATTTGAATGCAGAACAGAACATTGGCGATAATCCGGCGGTGTCGGCGTAAAATCAAATATTATCCATAGCAGTTTGCGTTGCTGATAAGGCCCCTTCAAAATGATAAGCATAACACTGAAACTTATCAGCAAGGGATGGGGACGCCTGGCAACGTAAACAGCTGACCTTTAAAAAGTATTTGCTCCAAAACTCAATCCTCCTCACCTAGTTTTCCCATGAGGTCCTCCAGCACATAATCCACAGCCATATTTGCTGTTTTTTGCAGACGTTATTCGAGGTTGATAAATGGAAGTTTTTTCGTTGCTGCCTTTCAGCAAATCGTCATCTTCCGATGAAGTGGAGCAAGCATGGGCAGAACACTGATATTTGTGGGTCGCGAAGACGGATCCGGGAAAAACAACGTGCTCGAAAGTTTAAACCGCGGGCGGAGCTCTCGATCAGCTATCAACTCTTCCGACCGCCGGCAGCATTGGAACTGGCAAAATACTAACTGTGAAGTGTTTCGCTCAGCGAGAAAAACGAAAACACACACGATGGTAAATGGCGATAAGGTCGCTCCAAGCTCAAATATGGAGAGAACTTGTGGATCGCGGGTCTTGAGTGGGTCTTCAATGTTGGTAGGTAAAAACTATCTATGGTGGATGGTAAGCGCTTCACTTTTGATCCCAACTTGCTTGGCTTGCATTAATAAATGTCGAGCTTATTAAAAACCTTTCACTTCCTTAAAACTGTCGTTTTTCAGAGTCTATTAAATTCCTATATATCTTTATGAGGAATTTATAGACTCGATCTTATTTTACTAACCATGAATACCTTTAGAGAAATCATTAATTTGCGGAAAGCCTTAATTTGGATACCATTTTGTTTCAAGTTATTTAAAATATACATTAAAATATGGCTTTGTTATCGAACAAAAATCTCAAGACCAAGCAAGCTATGTTTTATCCCGATCAACGGGATAAACAAAATTAAAAAAATTTGTTTTCTAAAACAAGTGAACTTTTAAAATTATGTGTGAACCAAACTATTCAGATCCCTCATCATTCCTTCAATTGGATATGCTGGCGGATATTTTGATGCGGTACGCTTTTGAGTTTGAGTCGGACTTCAACACCAAGTTGGCGTTCATCAAGGAGCAAGAGCAAAAGTGCATGGAAAATTCCAAAAATGTAGGGTATTGAGAGGCGAGTGATAAATACATAGATACCAGCTTTTCCTACCCCCAGGTATTGTCTGTAAGCCAAATCCTTGGGTCAGTAAATTGCAGCATGCTTAAGCTGGAAATGGAGCTGAATGAGAACGAGATCAACTTAATCGAGGTGGAAAAGGCGATTACTCGACTAGAGCAGAGTTGCCCGACAGCTGATAAAATGGCTTGTCGAAAGTGTCCCCTAGCTCGTGTCACCTACAATGATCTTTTAAGTTTGCTCATGTCTGCAAATCAAATGTCCACTCAATGCAACCACATAAGGGAGGAGGTCGAGATGTTTAACAAACAGGCAGCTGAGCAACTAGCTCCTGCAAATGTGGTATGAATAAATACTGCAATCTTTACAATGCGTTATATTTATGAAATTGCAGATTGCCAAGATCATCGATTACCACAATAGCACCCTCAAGTCCCTCGAAAAGCATATCGAAGAGATGCAAAGCCAAGTCACAAAGGTTCAGAGGAATTTTGAAGAACTAAATAGGGACCATGAAACCAGAACGGCCGACACTCACTGTTCCTGCAAAGCAACAAAGTAGTTAAAGCCCATTGGGATTTGTGAGATACATCTATGCATGTAATCCGACAGCTGATAACACATTATATCCATATGAAAATTATAAATGCTTACAATGCTTTAAGTTCAACTTTGAGCTTAAGATTAGGTTTGGTCTTTTCGGCTTAAATTTTAGTTGTTGGCATCGCGGAAGAAGAGCACGTCGTCGGCAATGATGCTAGTGCTGGTCTTCTGGTTGCCCTGTTGATCGGTGATCTCTCCGTAGGTGATCTTGCCCTGCACCATGGTGCGCTGTCCCTTCTTCAAATATTCCAGCACGGTGTCGCGCAGGTTGGGCTTGAACACCACCACACGATGCCAATCGGTGCGCTGGGCCCAATCGCCGTTCTCGTATCTGTGGAGAATAATGGAGGTTTTATTAACATTTTTGGTAACAGCTATTAAATACCTACTAATACATACATAGAATAGATACTAGTATATTAAAAAAATAAAACTTAATTAAATTATTGATTATAGAGGTGAATACTCTATTATGTTATACCTTTTTAGATATGTTAACATAAAAAACATCGTTTTATGACTACTGCGTTAAATTGGTACACAATTACGGATGAGCAAAATAACACAATTTTATAATTAAAAAAATATATTTATTTATTTGACATTGTCATCAACTATTAAAGAACTGATATCTAATATTGAAAGGAACCATTTATAACTTTATGGAAAGATTTTCGATGCTATAATTTTGATCGCGACTGTGAATGCCTCCTTGGAGACTCGAATTCAAGATCAATAGGCGAACACATGCTGGGCGCACTCACACACTCGTGCAATCGGTTACGCGTACTCACTTGTAGTTTGTGTGTGTGGCGACGGAGAAGGTGACCACTGGGTGCTCCTGGGATCCACGCAGCTGCGGATCGGCTCCAACTCTTCCCAAAATGGTAACGGTGTTGACGGCTGCATTTATAAAGCCAGCAATTAATGCAATTTCACAATTGGCAACCAAGAACTACTCACTTTTTTCAATTTTGGCGGGCGCTGCGGACGTCGTGGTTGTTGCACCGCGTGCCGGCAAATTTCGCAGGCCGCTTATCAGGGGAGTCAGCTTAAATACACAAATGATTACTGCACTTGGTTTAGCCCATTGTTTAATTAGTTTACTTACCATGCGCTTTGTGTGTTGCATCATTGTTTAACAAAGGTTTTGTTAGCTGAACAAAAAATTACGAAGTTTCTTGGACTAGTGTTGGTAAACATCGATTTAGTGTAAAATAGTTTAGAAAATCAGCTGTTTTCTGCCTGCAGCGCCCTCTTGTGTAATTATGTGGAAACTGGTTGTTTCTTATTTCAGCCAACAGCCAAGAAAATTACGAAGTTTCTTGGACTAGTGTTGGTAAACATCAATTTTGTGTAAAACAGTTTAGAAAATCAGCTGTTTTCTGCCTGCAGCGCCCTCTTGTGCAATTTTGTGGAAACTGGTTGTTTCTTATTTCAGCCAACTGCCAAGAAAATTACGAAGTTTCTTGGACTAGTGTTGGTAAACATCGATTTTGTGTAAAACAGTCTAGAAAATCAGCTGTTTTCTGCCTGCAGCGCCCTCTTGTGTAATTATGTGGAAACTGGTTGTTTCTTATTTCAGCCAACAGCCAAGAAAATTACGAAGTTTCTTGGACTAGTGTTGGTAAACATCAATTTTGTGTAAAACAGTTTAGAAAATCAGCTGTTTTCTGCCTGCAGCGCCCTCTTGTGTAATTATGTGGAAACTGGTTGTTTCTTATTTCAGCCAACAGCCAAGAAAATTACGAAGTTTCTTGGACTAGTGTTGGTAAACATCGATTTTGTGTAAAACAGTTTAGAAAATCAGCCGTTTTCAGCCTGCAGCGCCCTCTTGTGCAATTTTGCGGAAACTTGTTGTTTCTTATTTCAGCCAACAGGGCTCGTCCCATAGTTCGGGAATTAAACTCAAAATTTTTGGGGGCGCCACTTCAACTATTTGAATTTAAGTTTGGATTATTTTCGTGTATACTTTACTAATAAAATTTAAAGTCTTTTAATATTGTAATGAATTGGTTTAGGGTAACAAATGAAAAATAAATTTGAAATGTCGCAATTTACATAATCAAGGGTTCCATCATTGGTAGTAATATTAGTTGTATTAATTTTTTTTGACGCAGTAACAGAAAATTGAAAGTTCACCAAAAAGTTAATATTTTGATTTAAGAAATTTAAACCTAAAATCTACACTGTTAACTTGAATTTTGTTGCCCCACACAGATTTAATGCTGATATCCGAAAAAAGTGAAAGACAGCATTATTAATAATCGATAAAAATTTGTAGCTTATATTAGCTTAATACATCTAATGTAAAGCGTTAAGATTAAACATTTACATCCTCAAACAGGATGCAAGTGCGACAACTTATACTAGCTTAGTACTCGGCCAAAGTTTGCCGACTAGAGTAGTATTCAGCTTCGCTTTTTTTCGAAAATTAGTTACTGGCAGGCGGCTTTGTTTGAGTTGCTGAGGAGGCAGAGCGAGCGGACAAATGTCCGTTAGTCGGGTGCTAATAAAAACCTGGACACCCAAGAGGCGTCCCCGAAACGGAGCGGAAGAACAGAATCACCATTTTTATATTCGCACTGCTCTTGAGCCGATGCTGCTGCTGCTGCAACAGCAACGCCAACAGCTATTGCATCTGTAGCAGCAGCAAGAGCTCTCTGCAACTCTCGACTTTGCATTCAAATTGAACTCAGGCGATGGCGCCTCGATGTTGCTGCCCCAAGAACATCATATTGCCGACCAGAGTCTCGGAACTGCTTGCCATCTGCGTCACTCGCGGAATTCTGAATAGCTGATACAATGCTGTGGAGATATTGCAGCCAGCTCAGTCAGTTCCGACTTATTAACCCTATCGCGATATGTTACAAGAGAAAATTCTTAGTTCCAGAGAAATGTTTAAAATACCCATATTTGTAGTATGGAAGGTTTTATAACGCTTATCATATAAGATTCCTGCAATTATATGTCACTGCTTACCATTGTTTACTGATACGTATGTTAACAATTCTATACAAATAGTAATCAGATTTCACCATTTATAGACTAGTTAAGAAATGGGTAGAGTATTTTTTAATTCGCCTAGTTCCGAATGTTTTTTTTCCATTACGCATTTCATATTTTCTTTCTCCACTTATCATATATTTTAGTTGCAATAAAAAAATTCTTTACTCAGTCACATTTCAAATTTTAGTTACTTGGAAGTTTTGAAAAAAAAGAAAGGACTTAATTTTACTGGAATACTTAAAAATTTGTCTCTATATTGTTACATGTATTCTTTGTACTCCCAATTTGTTAGGTTTTTAAAATAATTGATATTGAGACTTTTTGAACAAAAGAAATCTTCAAAAAGATTTAAGTTTGCTGTTTACTTTTTAGCTGTGAACTTTTTTAAATCCAAAATATCCTTTTCTAAAGTCTCCCAAATACTATTTCTCCCGAATAGATTCACCCATATTTATAATCTAGCCCTCCGTCAGTACCTACATCTGCAGCCATATCGTAGCCGTAGCCGTAGTCGCGGCAGAAGCAAAGGCAGAAGCAAAGCATTTTGTCCGTCGTTGAATCCAGTGCGCGTGTTGCTGCGATTCTGTATAAATATACATTTGTATATGTACGGGGCACTCATATAGGAGGTTTCTGTTGTTGCCGTTGTTGTCGTTGTTGCTGTATATGTATCTGAGGCCGAGTGTG